ACGCGCGGGAAGTTTGGAGAGCAGAAGAGAGGAGTTGCTCGAAGGGCAGCCGGAAGCAACTCTAGCTTCCGGAGTTACATGATCAATGTGTCACGCGGGTAAAAACCCTATTACTGAAATAGCATGTGGAAAAAGCCATTTTGTGCAAATTGACAACAGGGTCAATGGAGAGGAAGAGAATTTTGGATTATTCCATGACAAAGATGATAATTGCTCTACATCTGTTATGGTGCGTAGTTGTTTGTATTACTTACCCTTCGTGCTCTGAATTTGTTCTTACAAATGTCATCTTTAACGCATTTGCCCTTGTTTAGAGCCGGACAAATCATTATATTTAATTCAGATTTACACTACATTTGTCCATATTTACACCCAAAAGCAAATGCACAATTATCCTATTTATCTTTAGGACAACTGTCATATTTGTCTTCAAGTCAAATACTGACAAATATGACAAACATCACATTTGAACCACATTTGGACTGCATTTGTCTGACGTCAAATCTGATTTTTCGCCCAGTGTAATTTGAAGAAACATTACTTAGATCTAACTTCAACTGTGTATGATCCTGCAGTTCCTTAAACTTTCAAAAGTGTCTGCATAAAAATTTCATATAAGCAGACGACTAACTGCATTACTAGCCAAACTCTGTTGTTAATTACCTGTTTCTAATCATATAATTTCTACTACTCGATTGCAATTTTGTTTTGTTTTTTGCTTGTTTAGGAGTCTCGTTATTGGAACATCAGTTCTCTCAGATCTCTCCTGCCAAATTGTTTTTTGCGAAGTCTATAAATAAATTTATAAATTAATAAAATAACATTCCCCCCAACGTCGCGAAGCCTCAGTTGAAGTAAAAAAAACTCAGTTTTGTTTTCAGCCACGTTCACGCATCGCCTTTGGTAAGTAAAGTATCGTCGACTCCAAAACTGATTCCGTCGCCTGAAAGAGCTACATGCTCATTGTTTTTCGAAACGATTATCATTTTAGCACATTTTCTTTTCAAATAGAGCTCTAAACGGTTAAAGGGAAAACAATCTTGAAAGTTTTGAAACTTCGCGGGTAAAACTTATAAAGTCAGCCTGAACCATCTCTATCAACTATCCATTTTTCATAAATTATAAGCCAATTAGAGCGCACGTTATCATATGATTATGATATAACATGAAATCAACAGCTGAGATGTAAGGAATCATCACGATATACCCTTACCTGAATATCCATCATCAGCAGTCTGTGCACCATGTCCATTACTCCCCCCTGACCATGATTTGTATCCAGGATTCCCTGTTGTGTTTGTGCTGGCGTCACATCCTTCATGTCTTGATCGAGCTCTATTTACCCCTCCTCCGCCTCCAGTTATTATCAAAGGTGTGTTAGCTCCTCTCACCACAAATGTACCTCCACCACCTCCAGAAGAGTAATAGCGCGTGTTTATTCCTCCTTCTTGACCAACGAGTATCTGAATGACTTCACCCTTGTTTAAGCCGAACGTTCCAATCATTCTTGCTCCTCTTCCTCGGTACTGAATACTGTTAGTGTGTCTATCGTACCCTCCTGCAGCTGCTATTGCTTCTATTGTGTAGTCACCAGTGTACGGCACAGTCCACTGTTGAACACCGCTGGACAGTGTGACTTGCCCGTCATGATCATGTCCTGTGTAGTGACTGCCCAGCGTTGTTGGACCAATTCTTCCACTGGCGTTGAGGTTTGTAAAAACGGCCTTGAAAGCTGAAAGGGAAGAGTTAAGTTATCTACATCGTTATAACCATAATTGTTTTAGCTTTTTACTTTCATTAGAGGTAAATTTACATCTACAAAAAAGACATGGAACAGTTAGAATCTTGTAGATTGATCCTTAAAACTACTCACCATTATTGCAATTATTAAGTTATTTAATATACAACTTTTTTATTTGATCAGTTATTCAATTCTTTGTCTCTCAATGGACGTGTACCCGCTAGTCACGAAAATATTTTTCCCCGAAAGTTCATCAAGCATCGCAACTGATTGTGATTGAAATGTTGTGTCGATCTTCCTTATTAAAAGAGATCGCTTTTGAAATAGGCCTTCAACTAAAACTGTCCTTTTTTTTCCTCATTTCAGTCCAAAGGTTACTAGTATACTTCTTTAAACTTTCCCTTCTTAAGTTTGAATTATAGATAAACCCATCCTCTAAAAAAGCCACTCTCGGATTTCTAAGTTATTTCTTCTTTAAATCTGGAAAGCGAGATTTATCAATGCTACTGGGCTAGTTTAAGCCCTTTCTCCCCTTCCTTTGGGCTTTTCCAGGCGCTATTGCATTAATTTACATTTTCCGCTTTAGTGCTGACGAGTAACTGATGATATCCAGCCATTGTGCGTGAAAAAATTCGAGAGTTGAGCAAACCGTAAAATTTTGATTTAGCGTCTGAGGCTATAGAACCAGGGGATTTAATTCTTGCTTTTCACGTGACGTCATCGAATTTAGAAATTAGGAATTATCGACCCCTACGAGAATTCGGTTTACTAAGTTAATAGAGCAGTTGAATTCTTATCTTTTGAAAAATTTTCCGTTTGATCGGGCTTTTCTTCTTGTGGTAAAGCAAGGTTAAATTTCTAAGCTATTGCTTGACATGATATTAACATACTGGTATGTAGGTTAAAGAAAAGAAGACAAAGAGAAGTGGATAAATAGATAGATAGATAGATAGATAGACAGATAGATATGCTTAATCAACTCTTTTGTAGGCAGAGCTGAATTACAGTGCAGTATGTACACACTCTGACAATGATATAAATAGCAGTGATTATATTTGAGCAATTTCTCATGTGTGAATAGTTTATATATGGGTTATTAACCAAGCGTGAGGTCAAAATGGCTGGATATTGGCCGAGTTCTTTCTTTTGCATTTTTATAGACCGAGACGAAGTCGAAATGCATAAAATTTTGAAAAAGGACCAAGGCTAATATCCAGACATCTTGACCGGACAAGCTTGGTTAATAAAGGATTTATTATATTACAAAAGATTTCGCTTTATTACGAGTTAAGAATGACCTTTTTCCTTCGAGAGCTGGGAAAGAAAGCCAACTGTGTTTGTTGCACAACAAACTCACGAGAGCTGCTTCTATTTTCTTTGTTTTGACTATCTTCTGCCGCTTTTTGCCTTTCCGTCGCCGAAATTTTCCAAGAGTTACGAACGTAGTTCTTATTCTATTTTTTTTCATGCGCGGGATCAATGTGGGCAATCCTGAGTGGGCAAGATGGGCCCATCTTGCTTGCTCGAATAGCCAATTAGAACGCAGGATTTGCTCCATCTTGCCCACGGGCGCTGCGTGCGGTGTGATGAATAATCCTTAATGAGTCATATTTCAACGGCATGCACCACAATTTCATGTCATCTTTCAGTGAGATGAGAAAACTGCTTCTTTTTTTGTACGATAGTAAAATCATCAGTGACGAAGAATTTTTGACCTTATACGAAAGTTACAGTTCCAAGAATCCAGAATTCCCTTACAGCTCCTACCCTAAGTTTGATTTCGACCAGATGGATGAATCAGTGATTAGCGGAGTTCAGACTGCGAAAACAGGACATAACGTTATTGGCAAATGTCCTTCAATTACCAGACACTATACGCTGTCCACAAAGAACAACGTGTGACCGAACTGAAGGGCTTAGTATGCTTCTGAAGCGCTTCTCGTATCCATGTCGCTATTCAGACATGATTCATCGCTTCGCAAGACCAGTTCCTGAAATAAGTATGATTACCAATACAATGATGGAACATATCTTTTTGAGCCATGGTCATCCTATTGTACAATGGAATTTTGATATATTGATTCCGCCAATGCTACAGGAGTATGCAGATGTTATTCATGCAAAGGGTGCACCTCTCAGCAACTGCTTTGGGTTTATTGATGGAACAGTCAGACCAATTTCTCGCCCATGCCAACACCAAACAATAGTGTACAATGGCCATAAACGGGTACATTCCCTCAAGTTTCAGTCCGTCTCACTACCAAATGGACTCATTGGAAATATGTATGGGCCTCTCGGTAAGTGATGTTCACTGGGATGCCATGAATATAAGCTGCCGCATAAGGTTTCTTTAATTTATTAACTTTATTTATCCGTTTTGGTATGCAGAGGGGAGAAAATATGATGCAAGCATGTTGGTAGATTCCAATCTTCTCCAGGAATGGGAAAGGAATACCTTTTCCCCAACTGGCCAACCCATGAGTGTTTATGGTGATCCCGCCTATCCGCTGCGACTACACCTACAAGCACCATTTCGTCATGGTGTCCTAACACCGATGATGTAACAATACAATTTTGACATGAGTTCTGTTGGAGTAGCTGTGGAGTGGCTCTTTGGTGACATCAACAACGACTTCAAGTTTTTGGATTTTAAGAAAAACCTGAAAACTAGAATGAATTGAGCGGGAAAAATGTATCTTGTATGTGCACTTCTTAATAATGCTGTTACCTGCATATATGGAAACAAAGCCTCAGACTTTTTGGTCTAGACCCTCTTTCATTGCAGTATTATCTTAGATAAATTCTCTCTTATAAATCGAGCAGAAACGAAGGTCATTTTAATTAAACATAAATTCATTAAGTACTTGAATTCTTCTTGGTGGTCAACAATGTAGACGTGATCAAACTTGTAACAATAACAATGAATGAAGTTGTTTTTTTTTTTTTTTTCCCAATTCAAAAAACGCAAGTAAATAATAAGACATCAATTTAAACGAATACCTGTCTTTTTGCCGAAACAAATAAATACTGAATCTACATGTTCATACTTAGGGAAAATGTCATTCTTTCTTCTAAAAAAGATTTTGAATAACCAACAGAATGGCTTGATTTGTTTGTTTTTGTTGCTGTGAGACAGTCACCATCACCTGCTGATTCTGCTCTTGCTCTACTCCTCTTAGATCCAGCTCTTGTTGTCGTAATTCTCGCTCAGTCTTGACTTTCTCTTGCATGAAATCTATTAGTGGTTCAGTGCGAGCACTTCTCCTTTGGCGCCTCGGTTTTTCCTCGCATTCATTGCCATTCTCTGTTGACTTGCGCTTTTTCGTTTCGCTGTATCGCTCTAAAGCTCTGTGCCTTATGTCCTCTGCCTTGCTTTTATCTTCTTTCTGCTTTCTTGACTGAGCATCGCCAACTTCGTTTAAACTTTCTTCTTTCCCGACTAGTTCTTTAAGCAAAACATCTATTTCAGACAGGTCGTCCATGGATATTCCACTTGCAGTTTCTTCTTGATGCATCATAGCGTTATACTTCTTCTGGAGAAGAACCCATCGGTCTCTTACTGCCCTCTTATCTTTGAAATGAAAACAGAAAGTCTTCACTTGATTTAACTTTTCTGTGATCGATACCCACCTTGCTCCCCTGGCAACACTTTCTTGTTTGAATGAAAACAAATCACTCTCCAAGATTTCTCGAGGCAAAATAACATTATGATCTTGAGTCCACTCCATAGCTCCAACAGCAAAAAACAACAATTCATCTATTTGACTGAGGGTCGAGGAAAAATGTAAACTTATTAAGATAAACATAAAAATATTTTCCGTTGAAATGTCTTCAAAAGACTCAATAGTTAAGCTTACTTTAGCTTTCCATCGGAGGCCGGCGCCGACATCTTTTTGCTCAAAGCTACGAGAAGTGAAAATGTCTGTTTGTTTATCTATGTTTGAGTATACAATTTGAACAACATGAAAGAAAATAATTATAAAAAGGTAACAAGAGCAAATATGAAATGTTAAAACAAGTTTGAAACAAGCTAGTGAGAGAAAAATTACTCACGTTCTGAATACAACGCCAAGATGAAGGTTCTTACGTTCGCGCGAAACGAAGGCGACTTGACAAGCAACTCCAGAATGCCCAACGGAACAAAAAGTCACTTCCGGTCGCCGTCGCCGTCGCAAAATAGCCTCCTGCTTAAGTTCTCTATTTAAATTTGTAAACCACGCCTAGCTTCATCTTGTTATCTGTGTCTCCTTGGAATTCTTTCATATTTATATTCGTTCTCATTTCACTCATTCAAGTTAAGTCAAGTCAATTTTTATTTAAACTTACACAGAAATAACAATCATTATTGACTTGATAGTGACGCTAAGCGAACGTGGAAACGTCGTAGCATTTGTCTTGAACCTTTAACCAAGATGGTTTTTAATTTTTTTTAAACTTGCCAACCTCATCGCAACTCTTTATAGTTAAAAAGTTTTCAGGGCTTTGAAGAAATGTTTCTAGATCTACTTTAGGACAATTTGTTAACTGCTGCTCAAAAGCTGTCTTTATATTTTTCTTTTTTCTCTTACTTGTTTGGTTAATGATTAATTTGACTCGTCTAGCTCTATGCAGATGCCAATGACTTTTTCATCGCAGCCTGTGCATCTCTTGGACAATCATTTTAAAACTTACCTTTCTTGCTATCGTTTCTCTATTCTTAATCCTCTCCTTTTTCTCGTTTGTATGTGTAGTTTCAACGGTTTATCAAATGAAGCCTTGGCCAAGAAACTCTTAATTGAAGTACGGGCAGTTTACAGTAAGAAGAAGTGGAGGAAGTCAACCATCAAAGGTAAGCCTCTATCATAACTTTTTAAACAAGAGCAGTGGAACTTCCTCCAATAAGATACCAGCTGGCCATATCGAATTTATGTTGCTATTTTTCTATAAGAGCCGTTTTGAAGGTACTATGTACAGGCAATCGAGCCTCTCAGACAATTGGGTCAAAATAGATTACGAGCAGTCTCTTTACTCTAAAACCCGGGGCAACGAAGGTGAAAATATCGAAAATGTGCGTTACGCATCTGTCGGGCGCCAGCTTAACTCTGCCAGTACTTTTACTTATTTTCCTATTTGTCCTCACTGGCGTTCTTTGGAGCAAAAGAGAGACTGCTTGTAAGCTTAAGTCAAATTAGCGTCATAACCCTACCTGTAGCGAATCTAAGTATGCTGACTAACAAGTAAAATTCATCCATTCAAATCTTGATTCGCCCTAGACTACACGTATGGTATGTCTCGGCGAGATTGCTGGTGTAATGTAGCTATATAAATAAAATGTTTTCAAAAAATAGATTGAAGGGTTGAAACGGTTGAATCTATATTTGAACACAAGTCAAATTTTAAAGCGAGTCAAAAACTGCCAAAGCTGTTAAGTGCTATCGCTGAATAAATAATGTTGGGCGGCAACCAATTTTTCTCGGAGTAATTTCTACCAATTCGTGTCGACAGCATGCTTCGTCAACTAACATAATCTATTTGTTTTAAATTAGTTGCGGTTCATCAGCATTGGAGATCTATAAGAGATGATAAATAAGGAAAGCAAACAACAGCTTTAAGAAGCACCGACGGCGAGTCAAGCGAAGCAATCGTTTAAAGAAGGTAAATATTTTACATCAATTATATAAGGCCAGATTGTTAACGTTTACTACTTTGTCTCTTATGTTTTGGGACAAGTCACTTAAATCCAGTACAACAAGAGAAAGTATGATTAATACAGTTATTATTTTTTCTTGGTAACAACTCTGCGCGTGTATTAAATCAGTTGCTTAATAGCAGCCTCCGCTGCTGTTTAACTGCTACAATGTCAACATGGTTTTCTTTCAAAGCTTGAGCTAAGTGGCGGATTTTTGTGTCTTTCGTCTATTTCAATCTTAGCAAGCTCATAGTCGAGCTTTTCGTGTCACTGAAATGGCAGTTATGGCAACTTTGGCAATTATTTGACTTCTCAATAGTGCTCTGACAAGGCTCTCACTTGTCTCGATCTTTTATTCCCTTTAGAAACTTTCTCGACGACTGTATACTCTGGACAACTCGACAGTGCTGTCTGATGGAGACAAGAAAAGGGCACGAGAAATTCTGTCTTCCCCAGACGCATTACATTATATGTCGTCGGAAGAAAGCTGCGAAGAAGAGGCAGTAGATCCAAGGCGTGGCCCAACACCACGAAAAGTCAGAAGACTTTCATGGGAGAGGAGAAAACTGAGGAACATTAAAGTGATACTGGATGAGGCGTATTTTGCCACACTAAATGAGAAGCAGCGTGTCAACCGGACTGAGGATGAATCATCACGCCCGATCACGCCCTCACCCAACTAACGGCCCGCGTTGGGCTGTCCGCAGCGACTAAGTCGATACATCTTTTTCAGCATATTTGACATTTTCTATATACTAGCTGCAGATTTTTTTGATGTTCATTTGTTAAGAAAGGAATTGTAGGCACATTTTGCTCAAATAACGAGGACGACATTCGAAGACGATGTACTTTTTAAATGACAAAAATCAATTGTGTGTCACCGATCCATCGACTAAAGTATATGTGTGATTTTACATGATATTTTTGAAGCACAGATTTCGCAAATAAACGGTATAGTCTGGTAGGGGTTATAGAAAAACGCACGATCACAACATATTAACCTGTTCTGTAATAATGAAAAAGGAAGAGAAAAAAACACTACTGCGCATGCTGAAACAAAAAAAAAGTGTTTCTGAAACAGAACATTGTACATCCTCCCCTCTAAGTCTGAATACATCAGCAGAAACAAGAGGAAAATATGTTTGCGAAACGTAACCTTGTACTTCCGTGAATGTTTCGGTCTGACGGAAATATAAAAAAATCATGTTTCCGGAACGTTACCATGTGTTTCCGCACATGTAAACACGAAGTTACATATGCAGAAACATTTGCTTCCTTTAACTGAAACCTAACGGTAACATGTAAAAAAGTGATTCGGTTCCGTTGTTACCGCAGCAACGGAAACACGAGTAAACGTCACCAAACCGCCAGCGGAT